ACTTTTCCTAATACAGTGGTACCTCGGTTCATGAACTTAATTCATTCCACGACCAATTCGCTTCACGACCAGAGTCGTGGAATGAATTAAGTTCATGAACCGAGGTACCACTGTATTAGGAAAAGTGGAAGGAACAAGAAAAATATAACTAGCAACAAAGTAGATGGGCTCAATTACAGCAGCAATGGGTCCACCATTAGAAGACCTGAAGAAGTAGGTTGGAGACAAATTGTCCTGGAGAATATCTATCTACATGGTTGCTAAGTGTCAAAAGCAACTTGATGGCAATCAGTCAATCACTCAGTGATAGGCTAGTCAGTGTCCTCCAGGTGTTTTGGATTAAAATTTCCACGACAGATCTAGAAACCAGGGCTATTCCTCTGTCAATTTTAACTACATAGCCAGGAATGAATATTAGAAATTATAATTTTAGATATATTTTGGATAATATAGATAATTGAAAAACTAGGGATCCATTTTTGGGTAAAAAAATTGAATGAATGTAATAGAGAGGGGAGTTATTCTTTTTCAGTGATGTTAATGAATAGATGGGGACAAGAGAATATAGAAAAGTAATTGGACTTTGTGAAAACCCAAGAATGAATAAGAATGGTGTCTGTCTGATAAGTATGTGCTTAGAAAAAGATCTGTTCCAAATGATTTAAATGTAAGTATCCATGTAAATAAATATATGTATACATGGCAAAGGAATCTAAAAGCAATGACTGATTTGATTGTTCATGATGAATGATTGAGAGAATGAGGGAATGATACAAAGATTATGAGAGATTGTGGTATGAGACAGACTATTATTTGCCAGTGTTGAGAGTAGCTCTTGGAAAAACGGGCATAAAAAAAGGAATGGAGTAAAAGAAATTAGAGTGAAAGTAGAATGACTGCAGGAAGACAAAAAGGAGTCCTGCATGAAAAAGTATTAAAAGAGGAAACTATCTCTGAGACAGAATGAATGCAGAAGTGATGTGGAAGCTGTTTGGAACAGATTAAAAACAATTATGTTTTAGGATGCTGGACAGAATGATGAAGTGAAAGAAGCTGTGGGAGAGAAGAAAAATACATGTAAGAAATTACTGCTGCAAAAAGAGGGAACAAAGGAGCTTATTGTAAAATGTGTACCAAGAGAAAAAGAAACTTGCAAAGAATGTACTCAAAGAGAGCACAAGGAACAGTCAAAAGAGACAGAGAAAATGCAGAGTTGTTTTGATGGAAATTAAAATTTGTTCTGGAAGTGGATTAAAATTGTTGACCAAAAAGCTTCCAATAAAGTGAATGAAATTATGAATTAAAATGACAAAATGATTTGGGATGAAACTGAAGTGTGAAAATGCTAAAAGGAGTATTTTAGAGATTTCTGTGGAACATAGTGATACGCTGAAGATTAAAATTGAAATGAATACCTTAAAGGCTAGTGACCAAGAAAAAAATGATGAAAAGGAAGTCATAAATGCTGCAAAAATTACTGATGTGATAAGGTGTGGATGGTATAATTGGAGAAATGTTAAAATATGGTTGTGATTTGTTTATGAAGTAATTGTTTAACACATCTATGAAGATGTTTAACACATCTGTGCCTGGCAATTGGAACAATACCAGCCTTGTTCCCCTATACAAAGAGATGGTAGCAAGAATGAGTGTAAAAACTACAGATTGATTTTTAAGTCTGCCAGAGACATGCTTAGAAGAATTCTAATTGAAAAGGTACAAGAGGTGAGAGTCAGCATGGGTTTTATGCTAGGCAGGGTGTCTGCAGACCAGATTTTTGTTCTTCAGCAAGTCACTGAAAAATGAATAAATGAGAACATTTCTTGTAAGTTTGTAGATTTATAGAAAGTGTATACAATTGAATTATGGAATGTGTTGTGTGAATATGGAGCTGAAATTTAATGATTAACTGCATGTGAGCAGTTTGTAATATACGAGGGAAATAAAGGTTCTGCGTGAATAAATGGAATGCTTAGCAAATAGTTCATCTCTGAGCAGGGAGTAGGGCAAGAATACCATACATAACCAGGAGATATGATACCTTGGATACAGGGAGGAGTTGATTAAAAATATTAAAGTGGTGGGAACTTTGGGAACAAGTGATCCCTCATTGTCCAGAGTCCTTGATTTCAATAAAAAGCTTGCTAAAAGACTCAAATCATGGATTTCAACAAGGTCAATTTTAATAAACTAAGAAAAACAGCAAGCAAGATGGGATGGGGGAAAAAACTTAAAGGGCATATCCCATCCAGATGTACAGTGATCGCAAGAAACTTTCAGACTTTGCAGAAAGTTACATAACATCAAGTCAGGTAGCCACAAGTTTGCTCTTGTTTTGACTTCACAAAACAGGCAAGTTGATGGTCTTTTTCACAAGCCAGAATATTTTGTTCCTCATGAACCACCTTTTGGCACAATTTTCAAACCGAAGAATTGAGGGGGGGCATACCTTAGCCATCTTTGAGCACTGAGGCTTGGGGGCAAGGAGACATTTTCTAACCCTAACTCCACAAGAGTTGTTTTCTCCCCCCTTTTTTAATCTCTCAAGAATTATTTAATTGGCTTTCCTGCACACTGCAGAGAGTTGGACTAAAGGATCCTTGTAGTTCCTTTCAACTCTAGGACTGACTGATTTCAGAAGAACCAATTTTGACAAGCTTCAAGTAGTACTAGGTAGAATCTATAGACAGAAATCCTCAGAAAGAGGGACTCTCCTTCTCTGCATGTATTTAAATAAAGGCTGGATGGCCATCTACAGGGGGACGCTGTATTCATGGATCCCTTTACTAGGGAAGGGGTTGGGCTAGATATTCTACAAGTTCCCCTCCAACTTGTACATCCTATCATTCTCTGATTTTACAAAATCATTGACAAAGACAGTAAACATTCAGGAAGTGGTCATAATGGCTTGACAACCAAATTTTGAATTAAGTCTCATACACTTGCTAAAAGTCACTAAAACATGTACTGTACTGGTGTATCTTCTTCTGATCCTGCACAGAAGGGGGTGAAATCATATTGACAAAGAGGTCTTTGTAGCCAAAAAGCTCATTCAAGGAAATCCTGTAGACCACTTTAACCATTCAGTTATTAAGCAGTTGAGCCTTTTTCAAAGGATAAGCCTGAATTTCATTGATCCTTTGGAAATAATAAAAATTAGAGAGAATTACAGAGGTGAAAGTAATTTCTGCAATGCACATACCTATCTAATATTGTATTAACAGCCCTGATGAAACATCCAGTTTAAGAAAGCTACATACTATTAAATTATCCATTGACATTGGCCTTAGTAGTCACTCACTTGTAACTTTTCTCCTCTAGAGCCAACTTATAACATATGAAACAAGAAAAAAAAAGCATTCGTGTTTGAATTTATAGTTGTGTGCAAAGTTAAACATTTTGAATATAATAAAACATGCAAGCCTTTTTTTCCAAGGAAGGTTTAAAAAATAACACATAAGAGTCTGAAGCATGTCTCCACTGAAACAGTTGAAATTTATTTATTTATTTGACTTGGACACTGCCTAACTTCAATCAATTCTGGGCAGCTCACAAAATGAAAACAAACAACAATATACAATTCAGAGAAAAGCCATACCCAGAATGGGGAGTGGGGGCATTTAAATAAAAGATAGCACCTTACCTGCTTCTGAAATAACTTTCATGACTGCATCAACATAGGTCTCTGGTTCATCATCATAGGTAAGCTGTTTCCACTGAGACCAGTCTTTGAAAAACTCATGGTAATTCTCACATTCTGAAACACCACAGAAAAACTTCACCACTTTAGGTGGTGGTTGTAGAACATTTTGCAGACTCTGAAGTACAGCAGGAATACAGAAGCTCTGTACCAATTCAGATGACAGTAGAATAATTATACACTTGCTGTTCTTGAAGAGATCCAGTTCCTCAGTGGAAATAGCAGTCGCACTCTCCACTTGATAGCTCTGAATTTCTTGGCATGAATGCAAGAGGCTCTGAAGATACTGACACCATTCATCAGCATCTTTTCCATATACAATCAGCACATTGCAAGCACCAGGGCACTGTTCTGCTGAAAAGTAAAATAAGTTTGATCTTACAAATGGGTTCTTAAGCTATAGTAATTGAATCAAATTTGATGACAGAATAAAAAAGATAAAGGCAGCAGTCTGAGAAAGACCATAATTCAAAGAGAATCTAGTAAACACAGAAATGGGACTAGCTGAAAAGTAATTTAATGTCTTGGTAGAATCAAACTTAATTCAGCTAGTACAGGTAGTACAGGTAGTCCTCACTTAATGACCCTAATTGGGATTGGAATTTCCAGTGCGAAGCAATGCAGTTATTAGGCGAAATATCACGTGACCACAACGCTTAGTGACGGCAGTTTCAATAGGCCTGGTTGCAGTTGTTAGGTCAAAACCACACCACTGTTGGGCAAGGACCTCATGCTTCTCCTGCCCTGCCACACTCACCTCCACTTCGACTCCCTCCACTTGCCTATCTCCTCCCATCTCTGCCCTTTTGGCTGACCTGCCCTCCACCTCCCCTGCCACCCTGCTGACCTGCACTCCACCGCCCCCAGCTGACCTTCGCCATCTTCTTCTTCCTGCTGCTGATGAGCTGTGCTTGGCCTGACCCTGCTACACGTGACCATGGGAAGGCCACACGCAGCCTTGGGAAGGCTGCATGGAGCTAGCAACTGTCTCATGAAGGGAAAGGCTGGGCTCAGCTTGTCAGCAGCAGGAGGAAGAAGATGGCAAAAGTCAGTGGAGGGCGGCAGGGGCAGTGGAGTGCAGGGTGATAGGGGTGCAAGACTTAGTGCAGGGTGGTGGGGGTGGCAGAGGACAGGGTGGCCAAAAGGACAGAGATGATGGGGAGACAGGTGGGCAGGGGGAGTTGAACCTTATGGCCATAAATGCAGGCGGGCTGCCAAGTACCTGAATTTTTACCACGTGACCACGGGGGCACTGCAATAGTTATAACTTTGAAAACTGGTGTAAATACCATTCATTAATTGCTGTCGTAGCTTTGAATGGTTGCTGAACAAATGGTCATTAAGCAAGGATTACCTGTAAATTAGCAGCATTCAGAAAACTGTCAGCAGTCTCTCCCCCTCATTGGCTTTTCTTTCTGCTACTGTCTCTTCCAACTTCCTTGTTCAAATTCTTGCTTGCTGTCCCTATTACTCACTGTTGGTTATGTTTCAGTGTCATGTGAAACCATATACTATAATCCCTACATTTTGTGAATCAATATTCCTATTCCCACAGCACACTTAGCTGGATCCATAGTGTGTGGAAATTCCAAAAATAAGCCAATTGATTAGTCAATTAACCTCTCAAGGGATTAATTTTTTCCCAAACAGACCCAGTAATGTACAGGGTAAATTAGCTCCATCCACTCAGTTGCACTGTGGGAACCTCTACATTCAGTCAACGGATTCATTTCACATACCTAGTCAATCCAAAATAAAGAGCTAAAGACAAAGAGCAATGGGAAAAGCAACATATCTGTTACAGAACTCACTGCCAGGCCCTGAGAGAGCACACCTTCCAGACACTTATTCAGTAGTCAACCCACACCATTGCTGCCTATCTGGACAATTGGGAAGTGACCAGTGACGTCACGAAGTGGCCAGTGATGTCATGAGGCTTTCTTCGACAAGAGCATATGGTATACTTGATATTAAGTTCCTAAAGACAGCGGGCAGGGATTCTGAACTTCCTAAATTATAATTTTGATCAGTTGATTCTGTACAACCAGAATCACAAAAGGGTAATCTGACTGGGTTAGTGGTTGGCTAGGTTAAGCTCATTGTAGGGAAAGACCGCAAGTATTAAAAATGAGAATCAAAACCAAGTTTTAAAATCATTGCTTTTCTTTTTTGCCCATTTAATCATTAAATTTATTTATAAATTGTCCCGGGTAGTAGTTTTAAAGGACAATTCAGAATCCTTAACAATTTCACAGAACTATACACACTTTAATTTACAAATGTTAGTACAAACTGAACTAATAAAATTTTCTTGGAGACTTTTGTGAATTTATCCATCAGACAAATCTCAAAAATATTAATTTAGGGATATATTTAGACATATTTGTTCATAATTTCCTTAGGAAAAAAATAAAATTAATCCAGACCAGACTCCATAGCCTATATTCTATATATGCCATATTAGAATCATAAAGGTTGGAATGGATCTTGGGAAATTACCTAAACCATCCTTTTTTTAAAAAAAACTATTTTTATTAATGTTTAAAAACACAAAGATAAAAAACTAATACAAACTAAGAAAAATCTAAATAAAAAATAAAAAGTGCAAAGAAAAAGAAAAAGAAAAAGGAAAAAAAGAAAAATATAAAGAAAAAAGATATATAAAGAAATGACTTCCTCCTTCATCAAGACAAATACAATTTCAATAACTTATCACCCTCTCTAACGTTTCATCAAAAGATCTCTTCTTCCCATATTTCATCTCTTATCTATAAGCAAATTATAAAGCCTCATCATTCAGTCCTAATCAGCAAGAGTCCAAACTCCATATAAGAGTTACCAGAAATAACAACATATGTATTTTAACCTTAATCAAATAAATCAGTTACATATCCCTTTCCTTTATACTCTTATAAAGAAAAAGCTTATCGTTTTCTCTAAAAATACAACAAAAATCTCTTCTTCCCATATATTCCCATATCTTATTTCAAAAGCCTTATCATTTGAACCTAGTCAAGAAAAATCCATTCAGAGCTACCAGAAACAACATATCAAGAATCTTGAGCTTTAATTCCTTCAAATAGTGTCCCACAAGTTAATTTCTCATCATTTTTTTTCTCCTCTCAGAAACCCTTCAAAAGTTTAACACATACCAGAAATAACATCTATATTTTAATCTTAATCAAATAAGCTGACTTTGTAATCTTTCCCTTTACTTTTAACACCATTTTGTTGTTGTTCAGTCGTTAAGTCGTGTCCAACTCTTTGTGACCCCATGAACCAT